ATCTTTAGTAACAAACTCAGAACTGAGGGATCACTTTCTCTAATCAAGCTTTGATGAACTGTATATTTCAGTGAGTGAAAATTTTTGAGTTTTCGAAGATCATTTTTACATATATACCGGTGATGATGACCAAATAGCTTGCAATGCAAAAGGGTCCTCTTTACGTAAAGGTTAATCAGTCGTTTTGTAATTTTATATTAACTGTTATCGATATTAAAAATAAAAATAGAAAATTTGTACCGTTAACTGGACGTTAATTGACGATTAAAATAAGGCTGGTTAACAGTCGGTATAAACTGACAAAAAAGTATTGTTCAAACTTTGTTAATATTTTTATGTGGTTAGTGATTCCTTAATAGTTTTAACGAGACGAATTTGAATTTATTAATAAACTTCGACATTCTCCCAGTTTATATTCTTATTATCGGAAACATGTACTAAAAGAGCTGATTTTCAATCTTTTATCGACGAAAACGAATGATTTATGACAGGCAATCGGGATTATTAGTGTTTTGGGAATTGCATATAACACGTCAGACACGTCACTTCTTTCAGGACACTTACGATGATGCTTTTATTGCCATGAAAAACTATTAAACAATTTTGGAAGACGTTTCATTGTGAAGACAGCACTTTGTTCTATGAAACTATGAACAAGAAATATTTTTGAAGGCACTGGAAAGGAGAGAAAACACTAATGATTCCAACTGATGACCCGCCTACAACTTCATCCGATCGGACCCAAAACTCTTTCGAGAGTTTTCCATTTCGGGATATAAAAAAATGGCCTTAATTAAAACCTAGGATTCTGGTTTTCAAAACTTTATAACTCGGAAAGAAGAATATGTTTTTACCAAGCATCCAACCTCGCGTTAGGAGAAGTTCAAAAACAAAAGTATAAACAGTTTAACTTTGAGACTGTAGAAACATATGAAAAGTATTTGTTTCTGGCTTTACACGCTAACCTCGTTATTAACTATGTACTAAATTTGATCATTTTTTCAAATCGAATGACCACGTCTTTCTCCTACTGTTGTCGGTGTAGGATGCTGGTGAATGCCAGTTGGAGACTATTCTGATACAGCGTTCTTTTGGCCCAATTGCTTAACTATCCAAATTTTTCAGAAGACGGCGTGTTTTCGAAGAAAAGCCTGATCTAATAATTAAACTTTCTTTGACAAGATCAAACAACTGAAAATCACACAATATTAGATCCACAGAATAATGTGACTATAGTACAATTTTAACATCTTCTGTTTCGAGGTAGTTAGAACATTTTTATGAGCATCTGGTCGAGTGTTGTCGGAACGATACTATGTATACTGTTCGATTCCATTGACAGACTGTCCTCTTCCTACACTTGTATCTTTTGTGAAAACTTTCCAGAACTTGTCCGTTTTCCGAAGAAAAAGGAGGTTTGAAGTTTAATTTTCTAGACTAGGATTTTTTGTGAAAACTTACTCAAATTTTTCAGTAGTTGTAAATTCCATGAGTATATTTGAGAATATCGAATCTTTAACTATTTATGGCGTTCACAACTACTAGAAAATATTGATGAGTACTTGTGAAAATCCCCACTGGATTTAAATATTCTATATTTGAGAAAAATTTATATTTTAGTAAAAAAATGCGAAATAAAGTGAAAAATTCCTAGTTACCATTATCATTTATCTCAAAACAGATAAAAGTCCCGCACCATCTCTCTATATTACGTTCCAGTGCCTTACTTATTAAAAGTGAAAGACCTGCAAAGGATTTTAGCCCCGAGAGGGGCTGCCCCGACAAAGTTTTTTAAGAGAACTAGACCAGTTATCTTAGTGTGTCGAATGCCGTAATTATCATTATTAGCCCATTGACTAAAGATGATTTGATAAAATCTTTTAACACATTATCTGAAAAGTGTAATCGTGTATTGTTAATTATGGCTAATAGTTCGAGCATGTACAAAAGTAAAAACTTGATTAACACTTTTTTGTGAATTTTCAGGTAATAGACCTTATTGACTGGTAGTTAGAGTCTTTAGCTATCTATAAGAATGCACCACAGTTTAACGATACAGAAAGATCGGTGTCTCTGGTTCCGTTTCTTTTTTAAGCTATCACATTCTCTCAGTTATTCATTGGTGCAAAGAAAGAAAAAGAAATAATGTTCAGTTTATTATAAATAAAAAATATTTATCGTAGAAATATACGGATGATATACAAACTATTTCATTGTTGTCACACTTTATTGTTTTTGATGTCATTTTATTAATGTTATTATTCACACTACCGTAAGTTTCTTTTGTTAGTCCTTTCGTTGTTTTTCTTTCTATCTTACTATCTCAAATTTACAATTCAGTTAGCTGGGTTATCAAGTTCAGAATAAATATACCATTCAGTATTCTCTTAGTATATCGGTCAAGGTTGATTATCAAGTCTCAATCTTTTTAAAAAGATTCCTCATTCAATTCTCTACACAAAACATATTAAACATTCCGTTATATACTGTAGACTAAAAAGATATGGAGGACATGCTTCAATATTATCTTACTCCATTTCATTTCCTGTACCAAGACGAACAAATTAAGTTTTCCTCTTTTTTTTACTTTTAGTAAAATCTTTTTTTGTAGCAGAAGAAAAGGTTTGTAGCGAACTTATGATACAAAAAAAGAAAGGTGGCATTCTGAGGTATCGGAACATACATTTCGATTCCAAACGGTTTTCATAATGGATAAAAAAGAAAGCACATCTCATCCTAACATTCAATATAAGCAAGAAATTTAAAAACAAAAGATTTGATGTACCCTTTTTCAGCGCAAAGTTCGTTTTTAAACCTCTAACTTTCATTTCCTTCGAAAACCGAACTTGTCCCTAGTAGTTTTCACAAAAGCTTATTTAGCTAAATTAGTTTAAATAAAGTACAAGAATACTAAAACAATGCATTTAACTGTAATTAAGATAAATCAAACATATTTTTTTTCTTACAAAAGTCCTGCCAAATAAAATAGTCAATAATTCAAAATGATCACGATTTTCTTCTTGATGTCACAGTTCGTTGTTAATAATCATTTATGCTTTAATTTTTCTAATGCTCTCCCATGTAAAAAAACGAACAGCAAGTGATTGATCATATAATTCAGGAGTCAAAGTGTCGAAAATTAACAAAAAGACAAATTGATTTGCCGTTTTATTTGTCTATTCATGGTTTTATTTGTCTATTCGCGGTTTTATTTATCTATTCGCGGTTTTATACATATGCAATCATGTGTAGTATCTCAACCGTAACGTGTTTATATCGCAACCTTAAAAAGAATAATGATTTGTTAATTTTTATCTATTAACATTGTCCTAATGAACTTATACATTTGTAAGCGAAAGCTGTCATAGAGACGATATTTGATAAATGACGAAAAAAGAGAGAATAAAACATTGAAGGAAAGACAATAAAATCTCCAAAAAAAATAAAGAAATAGGACAATTACAGACATTGACTTCCCTTTACAACTTGTGATCGTTTTAGATAAGTTTGTATTACTCCTTTCGATAAATGTTGCAGTTTTGAAATCTAACGATTATAGTGGTTAACCTGATCATTTTTTTTCTCGGTAGATGCGAGACATTACTTGCTTATCAGATTATAATAATTTTTATTGAAGAGACATCAAATTGTGAAACCTTTTGTGTACACAAAACGTGAATGTTTGGAAAGAATAACAATTGCTTTCTTCTATCATAAGTTAAAATTAAAGTGATTATGAAGTTTGTTTTTATGTCATGCTCATGCATATAACGAGTAGCTCAAGGTAAAGTTTTAAATGGTTTTCCAAAATATTTTTTTGCTTTTATTCTTTTCTCTTCATGAGCGACACAGATAGGTGCTTCTCAGACACATATATAGTTTTATACACAGGATTTTAAAGAAAAATTTTTAATCGTCAGGATTTTATCAAACTAATAGTTTTTAATAAATCTTGTTAAGTTTGAAATAACTTCATCTTTCTTTGTTCTGACACCGATTAGATGAATGAAATATTGAGAGATACACCTTGATATCTCATTAACCGTGTGTAATTTGTTTTTACAAATATGTACACTGTTATTTTAGCCGTTCTTGTTCTAAGAAAGGAACTTCTGAACGTTCTTTTCAGAAGAACGCGAACTGGAGCACCCGTTCTTTTCAAGTATTCAAAATAAAATAAAACCGTCAGAGCTAGTTACATTGATTTTATTTAGTGGGCTAAAGGCAGATAGTGTGTTTAGCGGACTATACAAAATCAATGTAACTAGCTTCGATGGTTTTATTTTATTTTGAATTCTTGAAAAGAACTGGTAGCCAGTTACTATTCGAAAGAACTGAACTGGAACTGTCGCACCCCTACGGTCGTCGTGGATGTGTTGATTATTTTTCTTTATCCTTTTATCTTGTTTTGAGCACCTATTGCTTTAAACAACTATCTGGAATATATTCCGGAGTTACCTGAGACTGACCAAAAGGTACGGGTTGTGGTCCCTGAAGGTACGTAATTATTATTTAGCTAGGCGCTTATCATTATTTCTTGATAAAATATTTGAATAGATTTCAACTGCGCAAGGTCAAAAACTTTTTAAACAGAGAAGGCACACAAGTTAAGAAATTTTTAAATCATATATTGCGTGAAAATTTTCACTCAAGGAGGATTCGCATCCTCTCGACCTTCCTGAAACTTACTCTATTATATTAGTTATGCAATTTTATACAGATCGTTCTCTATTTCTGTTCACAGAATAAAAAGCACAGCGTCCTACGCCTATTGTTATTCTACAGTTGAAATAAAATAGATATTAGACGTACGCACAATTATAGCTATCGTCAATAACGATGTATCAATACTCAACACAAGTATGTATATGCTTTTGTGTGCTTGAACATTCAATTTTGTACAATATAATCCTTCACAAAAGTGTCGATATTACAAAAACAACTTAACGCAAGGTTGAAATTGTCACGTTATATTATGCCTTTCTCTCTCTCTCGTTTAGATGTATAACACCACCAATACTCCCACAGTATTGCAGACTCACACCATGTTGAATCCACAAGATCCAGCCGTGCAAATAATGCATTATAACACATTACGAAGTATTCAACAATCCTATAATCCTGTTCCATTATCCACTCTCAACTCACTACCAGTCAGATATGTTCAAATGGACCAATTACTCAGAAATCCTGCACAAGACCAATTTGTTTCAACAATGACGATGGCACCTGTAGTTGGAATGTCTATTAATCAACCTCAAATGAATATGCAACAAATTCCTAAAATCCAAATGCAACCTCAAATTCCAACACCTGCTCAAATACAACAAATTACCAACACAGTTAAGATGCAACAACAACGATTTGAAACTCCGACACTAAATATGAAACAATTGAGTTCGATAGATATGTTAAAAAGTTATCCGGAAGTCTTTAGAAGAGATTCTTTATCGAATTCTGAATTATTAAGGTCTGCCGCCATATTGCCAACACAACCATTATCTCGAATATCAACGGATGTTGATACATCAAGTCCATTATTTGACGGTGTCATGTTATTTGAACAAGAAAATCGATCGTCGAAAAATAGATCGTCATCATCATATCGTTGGAAAAAAGTGTCACCTGATGTTCATCGTCGAAGTCGTTTATACAGTGGAAGTAGTTGTTATGAGTCAGATGCCTCTGATAATAGTAGCGATGATTTGCAGGTAAATAAATCATATTCAATTGCTCTTGGAATGTTATTTATCATCTTGCTAACAAATATTAATATACAAGCGTGCAGTGAATTGTCCGTACAGTTTCTGCATTAGTATTAGTTTTCTAACGTCTGAAAGAAGTGAAATGTTTTTGTGATCACTATGTAGAAAAGAAATGAGGTTGAAATTCAGAAAAAAACGCTCCTCCACATAAACCAGAGAAATAATTTATTCCTAAATTATTGATGGACTGAGTATTTTGTTCGAGATGTTAAATGAGACCTTTTCTTTTCCTCAAAATTCGCTACTTTGTGACATATGAAACAGATATTGATGCTTCTGTGGATACGAGTCGTACGCGGAGAGAAGAAAATACCTATAGACAGACAACCCATCCGTCTTTGTTTTATTTTGGTTGTTTTGTGATCAAATAGTAAAAATTTGCGCGCGACGATTTATTCAGCAATGAAAACACCAAAAAGTTGATGTATATATTATTTTTCGATTAGAAAACAAGTTTATCAAAACGAGACACTAAGCGAGACAACGGCACTGTTATAGCACTGTCATTACTTTTTCTTTTCATTGTATTATTTGAATTATACAATTTGTTTGGTTTTCTTTCCTTTTTTACCTAATATATCGACAAGAATCCATTAATAAGCTCGCTTGATTAACTGCATGCTGATTTATATGTGAACTATTTGACAAGAACTAAATTAAGCGTAACATTCGAATCAAGTCAAATAAATTCAAAATAGATAAAACGCTTTTCATTCGATGTCAAGCATCTTTAAAAAATTCTCTCATCTACCCTTCTCAGTGGCAACGTCCAAGAACAAAACGACCTTCGTCAATGGTGGTAAGTGGCGTTTCAACCGGAGGTCGAAGTCAATATGATAGTAATGAAAGTCCAACTGATCACGCACTACACGTTAATTATTCATCAGCTGTCTATGAAAAACATAATGGACAGTTATTACCATCAATTAATTCCAGTGTATCATCTGACTATGTCATGTCAAAAAAGAACAACAGTAAGATAGCAAGAGATACCCCACAGTTATTTTTGTTATGCAAAAACCATGGTGATTATAGGAAATATACCAAAACTTCTTCAGTACATCAATGATAATATCATCGGAAAAGACTTTACGATTAGTGGACCATGGGGAATCAGAAAAAGTAAGTTTTGTTGTTTCACAAGGATGTATGATACCAGAAACTTGAAAGATAGAACGCTCCCTCGAGCTCTCGAGGGACGCATCTCGAACTTTTATCTTATACCGTACGTATCAAAGCATAATTCTGGATCCGCCACTGGTGTGTTACTAGATGTGTAAATCTTCTAAACGTTCACTCGATATCGAAAAGTGTGTACCTGTGTGTTAAAAAGATTTCTTATTTTCCATTTTTCTCCTGAATCACACCATCAAATAAAAAAATAATTTCAGAATCATTATCACCATCTTCGGAAGTATATATGCTGTCATTTCCAGCAAAAACAGGTAAGAAAAAAACGTGAAAAAAACCATTGCCATATGGTAGAGTGAACAATCGATTGATGAATCTGAGGTATTTCCAACACACACAAGCAAGTAGGCTATATTACTGGTCTCAATGTGTACCTTACACACCTACGCCGTGCATTCTAAACAGTCACCAAGAATCTATTTGCCATTCACTTTATATGTGTCACTTACACACTTTATTTTTTACAGCGTATATAGAATTGATTCGGCAGTGTCTCAGACTTTTGTAACTTTTTCAGCACCGACGCCTGCGTGAAGATAAATACTCTATTGCTGGCAGGTATCATATTTTTCGTTATTCCCTTTTTTTAGTGGTGTATTGCGACTACATTGCATCTGGTAAAGCATTGCATTTTATTGAACATTATATTAAAACGAATGTATTACCATTGTAAGTTTATATTTTGCAATTTTTTCATTTCAAATTTATTGTTACTTTTGTTAATTTAGATACGGTAATACTCATAGTGAAAATAGTATATGCGCATTGCAAACGTCGAAATTTCGTGAAGAAGCGCGAACTTTGATTAAGTCGTCAGTCAATGCGACTGACGATGATGTCGTGATATTTGCTGGCTCAGGGACGACCGTATGTATTTCTTTTTCTATTGTGGTTAAATTGAGATTTAAACAAGATAACAAATACTGAACCTTATTCGAAATTATTTTTGTTCTCCCTCTAGATTGATATTTCAAAACTTATCCATTAATAACCTTTTCCTCTTACCACTTTTCCTCTTCAATCCAAAGCTTCTTTCTTGCTCTCACTTCAGAAAAAACTTTCGAAGAACCAAGTTTTCGACGAAATTATTTTCAAAAAATTCTTCTTTCGTTCTTTATACATTTTTCATTCGGTTTATAGTCACTTGTTTTCAGACACGCCTAATCATGAAGATATGGGAAAAAAGACAACTTGAGTTTTGAACAGCTGTACATGAACAATCTACAGCTATTTTCAGAGTATTTGCTTCACTAGAAGACAAATAGTAGTCACAATTTACTCAAGGAGATTTTTGAAATTGATTTTTGCTGACAGAGAAAACAGCAGTAGTCTAGTCTTTCAAGCTTTAAGTTTGAAATGACTACCAGAAGAGAGAAATGAAAAATCGTACGATAAAGTTAGGAATATAGATTAATTTAAGATTAACTTGTACTTTTTGCAGTTCTCTTCAGAATCTGTTGCATAGTGTAGAGAAAAAAAGATTTGTAACAGATTTATATTCATTTACATATTCTCATGGTTTTGTTGGTATTCTGACTTTAACTGATTGTCGTTTCGCGCAGCCGATTTTCCAATCTTTAAGCAGCATAGTTAATCCCTAATATTAAATTGTTTGATTTATCATTCTAGGGTGCAATACATAAACTTGTTACAGCATTAAATCTCACTGATAAAGACAATAAAAGCAATACAGTGAGTATAATACGATAGTGTGGCTGAATTTGCAGTTGATACAACAATTTCACAATTTTGATTGTTAGGTCGTAATAATCAGTGCATTCGAGCACCACAGCAATATTCTTCCATGGAAAGAAACAGGAGTCGAAGTAAGTCCCCTGATATATTATGATTGTCTTTGAACCATTTACTTTGGCTATTTAGATTGTGCGTATTCCGTTAACAAATCAAGGAATAATAGATAAAAATATTTTAAAAGAAAAACTTCAACATTATACAAATTTAAAAAAGAAAATCATTTGTTCATTAAATGCCGCTAGTAATATAACGGGTATTAGAACAGATGTAGAGTCCATTAGCACATTGATTCACATGTTCAATGGTTTAGTATTTTGGGATTATGCCACAGCTGCACCCTACGTTAAGATCGATATGAATTCATCAGCATTAGGTTACAAGGATGCCATATTTATATCTGTTCATAAATTTATTGGTGGACCTGGTTCACCTGGTGTACTAATAGCTAAAAAACATTTGTTTCAAAATAGAATTCCGGGTATATGTGGTGGAGGTACAGTTAACTATGTGACACGGACATGCCATGAATACAATAAAGATATTGAAGTGAGAGAGGAAGGTGGTACACCAGAAATTGTTGGTTCAATACGGGCTGGATTAGTATTTCAGCTAAAAGATGTATACTACGAAAATATAAACGGTATTTTCTTGATATATCTAAAATTTTCTTCATTTAGGCATTGGGTGATAGTTTTATTGAAGCTGAAGAAAATTCTCTAGTGAAAAAATTCTTTAAGCGATTTCGAAAGAATGATAATTTAATTATTCTTGGTTCACATGATGTGCCTCGATTGGCTGTATTTTCATTTTTAATTTATGTGCCGAGTGTATGTAAATATCTTCATCATAATTTTGTTTGCCGATTATTAAACGATTTATTTGGTATACAAGTACGAGCTGGATGCGCTTGCGCTGGACCGTACGCATTGGTTTGTAATCTATTAACGACAAAAATATGATATTTTAATGAATATGTGTATATGTTTCTTATTTTAGGATCTACTAGGTATTGACGATGTGAAAGCAAAAAAATTTGTGATGTTTATGACCGAGGAACCTAGGTAAGTGCTTTTAGATAAGTAACGCTCGAGTATAAGTTATGCACTCTTTTTTCAGTAATCGTATTGATCCAGAAAATGACAAAGTTGAGAAAATGTTGTTAATGAAGTGAGTTAATTTTATTTTTGTTAAAAAATACTTTTTGACATTCTCTTATTTAGACCCGGTTTTTGTCGACTGAATTTACCTTATTTTTCTACAGAAGAGGAAATAAATTTCATTTTGAATGCATTAGAATTTGTTGCCAACAATGGTTGGAAATTATTACCATTAGTAAGAGTAATCATTTTTGTTCCAGATATATGTTAGAATAGATAATATTTTTATTTAAAGTATACATATGAGCCCGTTGATGGCATATGGAAACATCGTGGTCAAGTTCAGTCTGTTTATTCAAGTTTGGATCAAATAACATATAAAGGAGGAAAAATGCAACAATACAGACGTAAAGAACAACAAAATGATAAATTAGCTCATGTAAGGATTGTCCTTGACTAATAACTCTGCATGCTTTATGGCCAAAACAGCTCATAATGCTTTCTAGAAAACTGTATGTTTAGCAAGACCAAAAACTATACAAAAAGTGATACATCGTATTTTCCTTATTTGTTTATGAAGGATCCAATTAAAGAAGCCAGATTAATTATGGATTATGCACTGATGCAAATTGAATCAGTCGATTATAGGACAGATCCACCATTGAATCTCATAGACAAATATAAAGATTTAATATGGTTTGTACTACCCATGGACATTGCCATGATATTGGCAAACACAAGAGAAGGACAAGAACAGTCATATAATAACAACGAGCTGCTATTTATTTCAGAAGAAGCAAAGGTAACGTTGCCAATCTGTTTTAATCTACTCTCTCGACTTTTTATATTCATTTCGTTTCTTCAATTTTAGCAACCAATTAATCAAAAACATTCTAGTCGCCGGGAAACAACGAATGAACGCCGACGTAACGATTCGACTAATCGTAATAAAAAACACACTCGTACACCGTCTCAATATAGTTCTAGTTCACATCGTTCATATGTTTAATAACTTCAACAATAATAATCATCTTATGAGAGAGATTTTTATTGTCTTGAAGCCAGCTAAGTAGATTATTTATATCCAAGTGTTCAAGTTTATTTCATTTCTCTGTCGTGATTCAGTTTATAATGTATAAATAATTCTACTTTGTTTAAATTATATAAATCTATATGATTTCCTTTTGAAATCATACGTTTCATTGTTTATTCTTATTATTGATGTTTATACTTTTGTTCGTCGTTTTTTGTATTGTTCGAATGCATACAATTAAGCCACGACGACGACAACAACAACACCACTATAACAAAATTAGATTATTATACACCTCTAAATTAGGCAATACGTATATGCTTTTTTTTTTGAAGTAATTTTGTGTTATTATCGTATTGCTATTTGGACTGTTTCTTTTTGTATATACACAAAGAAACAAATTTTATTGCTGTGCAAAATCGTATAGCAATCAGTAAACATTTTTTAATATAAAATAAAAACATGCGTTAAACACCTTGAATCGTTGTCTAATCAATGATCAATTATTAGTAATAGGTCAACTCACAGGTATGCACCTGCCTGTGTGCACACAAGGAGTGCAGGAGGCGTCGCTCTTCAACATTTTTAGTAGATGTTACAAGCAAGATTAGAAAATAAACAGATTATCAATTTGACTGGGTGTGGTTAAAATTTCAGTATTATCTAAAAATTAGTAGAATAATATGAAAAATAACGATGCACAGGACTGTCATGTTCGCTCTAGACTGTTGAAAGACGTTTGTAAATACAAATAGTTTATTTAATAATTACATAAGTAATTTTTACAATAGAAAAAAAAATTGATATGTATGTATACTATTATACTACATCGTCTTAGAATATTCCATTATTCTAGAGTATTGTCTAGTCTTAGATTGTTATGGACTATCGGATTATCTTAAAATATTGCAGAATAAGAATGCTCTGGAATATCTTACTCTCCAGATTTATTGTCATGGTTACAACAAACTCTATTCACCCATTTTTTATTAAGTAAGTGTTTGAAAACAAATTGTTTCCTCATGTTAATAAATGATCTCAAGTCAAATAAAAATAAAATTCTCTGTATCACGTATCATACAAAAAGTAATGAATGATGATGAACAAGCATTTGTGAAGCACACAGACATTAGAAATGGCTGATTTTCGAGTTGAAGAGACATTCATTATAATAAAATAGATTAGCGATCGAAAAAGCTCTTCATAAACAAATAAAACGACAATCAATAAAAATAATCATCGTTATTCTAACGTCGAAATAATTGAGATATTTTGATAAAAACCGGTCATATTTTCACATGCCAAGGCTGAACTGATTCAAACAAAATTAAAGTCACTCCATGCTTTATATGTATAAGTTGTCAAGGTCACTATAGTTCCATATCCCATCAATGTCTTAAGCGTGTTTTTCTAAATGTCCACGCTTGAATATTTTCTTTAAGTTTATATCCGACAAATGTTATTATACGATAATACTTAGAGACGAACCAAAAGATATCGACATGTCTCATTTTTATTTTGAGATTAGATTCCAGTCCCATTTTGATCAGAATTGAAAAGCACAGCTGAGAAATAAAAGAAGCCTGAGGCTGAAACTTTTTTTTGTTAAAATAATCAAAAAAAAATTTTTAATTTTTTGTAAAATTTAAATTTTATATGAAATTTTAAATTTTTTTTTAAATTTTTGCAATAAAAAAAGTAAAAAAACTTCATGAGGCAATTTTAAGAACGAGAAAACATGGCGAAAGAAAATGACTGTGCTTTACTTTAAGCTAAATCTCTAACTGCGCCTGAATTGAATAAATCATCTTGATTCTATCATGTTGCTGAGAGAATAACCTCGGTGAAATCAGCATAAATCTGTCTTAATTAAAGTTATACAAAAGAGAAATTTCCTTGCTCTTGAACCTTGCGCTTTCCAGTATTCTCAGACTTGCTCAATACCTTTAAGTATTACAATTGAATGGATTGAATTGCGTCTGAGAGTTTTTGATAGAAATCAGTTTACAAGACAAATTAGCTGTAAGCAGATGTTTCACGATGCCAGTAAATATCGTTGTAGGTTTCTTCCACATTTTTTTATTTGACATTTTAACTCTTTTCTGCTAACGACGACGGGGACGAGGAAAGTCCCCAGGTGTTTCCCTGGGATTTCAAAGCAATGTATCCCACTTTGCTAATTTAAGGATACTGATTACGAATCTGAAAACCATTCGTGCTCTCGTTCAATCCTTCAAGAGTTATAAGCGTTTTATTTTA